TCTTCCACCTGTTCCCCACACATCTAGCTGTCCCCAGTTCAAGAAGGCACTGTTACAACTGCCTTATATACACTGTCTTCTTGACCACCTATATAAGCAAGTGCATGTAGATATATTCTCCCCCCTTTTATAATTACAGATGGAAGAATATTATACACACCCTTCTTCATCTTTTTCTCTTCACTTTACCTTGGAAAGGATTCTGTATCAGTGCAAAGAGCTCACTCCCTTTTCACGACAACACGGAACTCCATCATATGGGTCAACTGTGTCTTCGATCAGTTCTCCATTGATGGAGAGACATTTAGACTTAAGGCTGTTTCCAATGGTACGTTAACCTACTTGTCGCTTCAAATGAATAGGCTCAGTTCCTAGAAGTGGAATTTTTCTGGGTCCGAGGGCACTCGCATTTGTAATTCTGCTACACAGGTTGTACCGATTTATACTCCCCCTCAGGAGTGTAAATGTATGTGAGTGACTGTTTCCTCACCCCTTGACAATCCAGATGTTAACATACTGACTTCCAACTGATTTTAGACAAATTCTCCACTCACATAGGTTAGTTTCATCATTACCCTTAAAATTTGTTATTCAACAAATATTTATGAGGTGCCCATTCTGTGAAAAGGGGATGGGTTCCTGAACACAGAGAACAAAACACATCAATGAAATGAACAACAGCTGAAATTCAGCAGAGGAAAAGACTGTTTCCAACCTGGGTGAACTCTCCCTGCAGGAAATGAAATCTGACTCAGGTCCAGCAGGACAAAAGCTGTGGACAGAGTGGAAGGAGACCCAGAAGGGAGGCCAAAACAGGCAGCACACCAGAACAGAAAAGTCCAGGACATGGTCAATGGAGGATCAGTTTGAGGAGAGGAAGACAGTGCTGAAGGGGCAGCTCAAAGAGTGACAAAGCACAGCGTTAGCTTGGAAGGAATCAAGAGAGTGGAAAGAACACTGGATTGAGAGTTAGAATTTCTACTTCTGGCATTAGCTAAATCATCTTGAGAAAGACTAGTTTAGCTGGGTTTCAGTTTCCTCACTTGGAAAACAGAGAGGTTAGCCCTGAAACTAAACTTTTTGTAGCTTCAGAAGTGTGTTCAAAGTAAATCTTAGCATGAAGACTAATGCCAGACAAGCAGAATTGTGCTGGGAGAAGGGGACAGAGGGAACCTCAGCTCCATGTTCCAGTTGCTCCATCCTGACAATTCAAGTGGGCTCCAAGAAACTTAGAATTATGCAAAGCACAGTTTGAAAGCAACCAGGCCTAAGTCGTCAAGGTTCCCTTCAACTCCAAAAATTATTCCAACTTTTCTCTGTGTTGGATAACGCACTTGTACCTTCACTTCTATTCCACTGCCTACAATTCATACTGATTTAACACAGTTCACGAGTACCTACTACATATCTGTATTGTGCTAAGAGACGGGGAGATAATGGCTAACGGTACAATGATTCTTCCCTCTGGGGTTCAATTTCTATTTGGAAGGGAGAGGAGAATGAGAGTTAAGAGGGAAAAGTGTAGTGATAGGGGTGGGGTGAACTGCTCCGCCAACAAAATTCTACTCATCCGCATGTTAGGATTCTTCCATTCAGTCTTTTCAGATTTATCCTCACAGATTATTTGTTCTTTTCTCTGAAATCCTGCAGCACTTTGGACCATGCATAAGCCTCTGCCATTTGTTAACTATTTCACTGTACTGGGTTTGTGTCACCCAGATTGTAAGCCTCTTGAAGGTACTATATTATTCTTGGATAGTTACAGCAGAGCTATTCAATCAGCACAGACTGAGCATCCACCAAATACCAGCTGATTGCTATGACAACACTGATATTTTAGAATTGTAAGTATCATCTTAAAGCTTCCCTTTCCCAACACCTTGGACTAGAATTTTCAAGGAACATAAAAAAGCAGAATCAAATGAAAAAATTAACTCAACAGAAAACCAAACTAGATCTGGTAAAAAGTAAGAATGGCCAGGTGGTGCAGGTGTTTGCCATAGAAGCTAATCCTAAGACAAACATTAACTAGACAAGGCCAAGCAGATGGGGTGGAACCAGAAGGACGAGTGTTAGGGCAACTCTCCTGTGGAAGCAGAGTGAACAAATGAGATGTGCAGAAGAAAAGGGCAGACCCAGCTTCTCCAGCCCACTAGGTCTCTTGCCCACTTCCTTACTGGAGTGAGTGCCAGGCCCTACAACTCTCTCCCCACCACACATACCCACCACAGCCTTCATATATCCCTAGGTAGCTTGATGCTCTGCTCCTCACCCCCAGGCTTAAAAACTGTCAAGGGCACCCTTACCTCCCACCACAGAGTCCCCCTCTCCTTTTATAGCAGAAAATGTGCATGTCGGGGTTCTTATTTTATTGTCAAGAAGTCTGAGAATTTCCTGCATGACATAAGTTGTACTTTTAGTATCCACAACTAAGAAAACACATAAACCAGAAGCTACTGTGACACAGATGTTCACAGCAGCACTATTCACAATAGCTAAAGATGGCAACAACCCAAATGTTCATCAACAGATAAATGGATAAGCAAAATGTGGTCTACCCATACACCGAACTATATTATTCAGCTATAAAAAGGAATGAAGTAATGACACATGCAACAACGTGGATGAACCCTGAAAACATTACGCTACAGTAAAAAGAGCCAGACAGAAAAGGCCACATACTGTTATGATTCCATTTACATGAAATATCCAGAATAGGCAAATCCAGAGACAGAAGGACCACTAGGTCTCTTGCCCATTTCCTTGCTGGAATGAGTGTCAGGCCCTACAACTCTCTCCCTACCACACATATCCAGCTCAGCCTTCATACACCCCCAGGTAGCGAGATGAGTGGTAGTCAAAGGCTGGGGGCACAGAGCAGGAGGGATGACTGACTGTTCATGGGCCCAGGGTGTCCACTGGGATGATGAGAATGCCCCAGAATTGGGTGGTGGTGATGGCTGTACAACACTGTGCATGTACTAACTGCACAGAACTGTACATTTTAAAATGGTTAAAATGGTAAATTTTATGTTATGTGTATTTTATCACAATAAAAAAGGTACTGTGAATCCAATGAACTCTAAAAAAATTATATCTTACTAATTTCTAAAATGTAACTTGGAAGACAGGAACCATGCACACTGAAATCACACATACGTTGTTAACACTTATTCACAATGCTTGGACACAGTTCTCAGAACTCCTGTAAAACTATAACTAATAATGACAATAATGGCAAACAATTCTTAAACTAGGCACTGCTCTAAGTACTCACATTTAATCCTATGAGATAATTACCCATTTTACACAAGACAAAACAGGCACCCAAGATTGGAGAGCCAGCAGGTGGCAAAACCTCAGAATTTAAATCTAGTTTCAGAATGTATGTGCTTAGTCAGAGCTCCACGGACTCACACCCTCCTCATTTGGGCCGAATCCATTCTCTCTTTCACTGTCTACCCACAGAGAGCCACCTGCTCAGCCTTTGCCTGTGCAGTCTTGCATTGGTGCCTACAAACACTGATTGAGAGCACATTTTAGCCTGAGAACAAGAACAAAGAACTACTCTCATGCCCCCAGCAAAACCAAAGGTGCCTTGTGCACTGCTGAGGAGCAACATGGAATGCAAACCTATGAGCCACAATATCAGACCATTTTGTTTGGCCAGCACAACCTTTTTCAAACTGACAATATAATCTGAATGACTTCCCCAGGCCAACCAATCCCCGTGTGCCATACTGCTACTCGGTATTATCTGGTGACCTGCTGCTCAAGGCATGTAAGCTGTCCTGACCTAGCCATTAACTGACTCACTCATTACTCACTCCCAATGATATTTCTTCCTATCACCAGTAAATCATGGCTGGAAAAGATACTAAGAGAAATAAAAGGGCAAAACAGACACTAATAGAACATACATTTTACTTCTGAGGATAAAAGCCTTATATAATTTTAAAAGCAGAAATAGCCCTAAAATTGAAATATTCAACTTCAAATCACAGCACAACTAAAATTGACAAAGATCCCTTATCGGTGCTCCCACTTCTAATTGGGGAGGGGGCCCTAGCTGAACAGGATCCAGCCTAGCAGAGGGTCACTGCTGGCAGTGATTTCTGAGAAAAGGGCAGGGGCCTTTGTTCTAGAAGGTTTACATTTACATTTCAACAACATGAGACATTTAGTTTTTGAGTTATTTCTGTCCAGCTTATAACAATGCTCAAGTTCAGGGAGGAAGCACCGAAAATGAAATGGAAAGGCAATGAAATGAACTGCTAACTGAAGACGCTGCACTTCATGACAAAACAAGGGGCATTGCTCTTATTTCAAAGCTTTATCTCTCTCTAGACTAGCAAGAAGAGGATCACAGGTTGTCTTAACATATAAAAAGTCCACAGCTGTGCACAGCAACACCAAAGCAGCACAAAGCATAGTGCAAGTAGTGAGTTAATATTTACAAACTGTGGCAAAGTAATACAAGGGCCTTAATTTGGAGGGGGGAGATGTGCAGGGGGTGATGGTGAAATAAAGGTTTTAATACTTTTGAAAACAAGTTTTCTCATTAAGTCAAAAGCCTAAAGTACAAATATTTACATCTAGTAAAAATCAAAACAGAAAGGTACACAACTATTAAACTGAGATATTCTACCATCAACCATTTCCCACAAATGACAATTTTAGGGTAACCTAAATTACTGAAAATTTGTACGTAAAATCAATTTTTGCTTTCTTACTCTTTTGTACAATACCGTTTTCCCCCATGATCTATATATCTCAGGTACACTGAATTTCTTAAAGGGAACACTTGTACAAAGGTGAAATTTGCACAAAAAATAAATCACCTTCTCTCTTACTCTCTGGTCTTTTTGCTGCACAGTCCAGACCCAAGCTCCAGGCTCATTTCAGTGTAAAAATGTAGGCCATACAAGAAATAAATAAAATAATTCTTAGATGTAAGAGGCAACAGGTTAAAATGTCATTGAGTAGTTCATAGTACTTACTGCTGGTTCAACCTGACTTCGATCTGCAATATCTATGTGGACAATTTCAACAGTTTTCCATGTGTTTGGATCTAAACCGTGTACCTATAAATGACAAAGAGAAATGAAACAAAAACTATAGACTATTCTTGCTAGGCAAAACTATCATACTTACATATATAATCTTTATCTTGAGTCTCTTAGAGTACATTATGAGGAATAAAAAATCCAAAATCCAAATTGCTATTTAATTAAATTAGTCATCCAAAGTCTTGAGGGATCTAGAAATCTTTTATTATCCCTTGAAACCCCAAATAATAAGGGGGTGGGTGGGGTGAGAATGCTGACAAACCAACAGAAATCTGTCACAATATTTTCTGGTAATCCATAGAGATGATTTATTTAACAAAATGTACCTGGCCCATGTTTAACTCAAATAATACATGACAAAGACCTTGTAAGCTCCAAATTACAGATAAACATAAAGTGACATTACAATCAGATTTCAAAAGGTGCACTGTATGGTCTAAAACCTCTTCTGAATTTGATTATCCTAAAGCTATTCAGTTTCAGAATGATGTTAACTCCTCTATACTTCATGTTGTTCAATTATTTATTCTGAAACTAAATCTATGAACTAATTAAGAATTGTTTAAAAACTGCCAAAGATATACCCATTTGAAAGCTGAAAACATTAAAACACACACAGACTAAAAATATCAAATCATCTTATTTAGACCCTCTACATTTTAGAGTTACTATGAAAAAACAACATGAAATGCTAAGTGATCACGTTGAAAAAAAACTCAAGTCAAAATACCACAAATTATAATCCAAAAGTTCTATTAATTGGAACCAATAACATAAAAAGCACAGTAAAAACGGATTCTACCAAAATTACCATTAACTTAACTCTCATACATAAAAACCTACCCTAAGGTTGGAACCAGTACTCAAACGTACACCATAAAACAGAGATTGCTGGGCCCCATCCCCAGAGATTTTAACTGTGTAGGTAAGGGGTGGGACCTGAGAATTTGCATTTCTAACAAGTTCCCAGATGCTGCTGCTGGTCGGTCCAAGGACCATACTTTGAGAACCACTGGTCCAAGGGCAAGAACCTATACCAGATGCCCTCCCAAATTCCCTGACAAATCTTACCAAAAGTTAATGATTACAGTGAGTCTTAACTGATTTTCCTGAAATTTATTTTAGAGATAATGTGTATCAAATTGTAAAAATCAGGAACTCGTCAACATTATTATAAATTATCCAAAGTACATTCTCCCTCCTTTTGGCCATTTCTCTGACATCAACCCATATCCCAGCAAAGTGGAATGGAGGTGAAAAGTAAAGCAACTATTTTTGCAATGGAGAGCATCTCTGGCAAATAAACAGGATGTAAAGATTTTAAAAATCTAAAATTCAATGGCTAAGATTGGTTTGGGGATTATCGGTGAATTTTGCTTATCTGTGCTCTCCCTGTCCCAAAGAAAGAGTTGCTGATAAAAACAGCAACCTCACTAAAGTCCACTCATGCACCAACTAAAGGGGAATGGCCAGGAAAAGCCATTTGTTTCTGGTTGCTTGCTAGCCTCACTGCAATCTGACACGCCCCTGGGGTGGCCGGGTACTAGTCTAACGCAGGTGTCATCATTTTGGTGATGACAAAATGGACTATAGTATTCTCATTTCCAGGGGCTTCTTCACTGAAAGTTCAGAGGTGAGACTTACATTTTCTAATGTTCCCAAGTCTGGTTTGTGCCATGTTTCAATTTTAATGAAGAAATCATCTTTCATATATTCATTCTGCAGAAAACACAACAGTAAAATGACAGTTATCTTTCACCAGTTCTTTGGGGAGCCTTCCCCAGCATACGCATCCATGCCTTTGACTCTACAAGCCTGATCCTCAAGTGACAAAGAATCATTAGCTGCCTATTTTTGTAGACTTGTCGGGTAAAGCAAATGCTACATGCTTTTAAATAATTTAAACAATCCTACTTGTCATGCAGCATACAGGGCTAATATTAAAGAAGCTATGAGGTTTGGTGAGCAAAGCTAGCATTCAAAGAAAGTAACAGAAGCAAAATAAAGTCAACAGGGAGATTTTGAGACATGGCTGGAGAGAGCCCATTAAACCTGGGAACATGTGGTAGAGTATAGGCTGCTGGAAGAAGCACAGAGGAGAAGTCATGCAGCAGTGGGCAGTTTTAATAAAAAAGCAAGGAATAGTTGAAAATAATTACTATGTAAAGCAAAGTCTAAAAACGAAGAGTTTGTGACACAAAAACAGTTTACTCACCGTTACAACTGAGGCATAATGGACAGGTAGGCAATAAAAGGGGGAAAATGTCAAAAATTAATCGAAGTCAAAACAATCTGTCACAACATTTAATGTCACAAGATCAAACTACCTGAAAATAGAGCATTTAGTAGTTTACATCCACAAAGCACAGTTTCTATACAAGTCACACAGTAGGATACTTTAGAGTATGGAGTCAGTAATCTTATTTTAAAAGAAATTTAAATTATAAAGGGAATTTAAAAGTCACAAAAGCAAAACATCATTTATACTACTAATTTAGCAAACAACTTGTTTCAGAAGGCTGCCATATCCCTCCTCTATTACATGGCAAAATACGTAAAATACTGTTAAAACTACACCAGGAGACATTTCTGAGTGTGGATGGCCTCTCTTTAAGGTTTCTGTACAGGCATACCTCAGAGACATTGTGGGTTCATTTCCACACCACCACAACAAAGTGAGTCATAATCTTTTTGCTGGTGGAGGGTCTTGCCTTCTCATTGTAAAAAACACATCTGTGAAGTGCACTAAAGCGAAGCGCAATAAAACAAGGTATGCTCTATTCCTTTCATTTGCTCACCCCGGAGCCTATGCAGTCAGCAAGAACCTCAAGGTGCTGTCATCTGGGAATGAACCCAGGCCCCTCACAAAGCTCTGGGATGAGGAATGCAATGCAACCTCTCCTTTGCCACAGTGCAGTGACAGCCCGAGAACCCACAAAAGGCCTTGACTGGTGCCACCCTTCTCAAAAGTGTCCTCCCTGGGGGGAATGGTTACTGGGAAGCAGGCTTACTTGTTCTACAGTAGGGATATGCATTCCAGGCTTTCTCATGAAATACCAAGGAGCCCTCGGGAGCAATCATCCTCACGAATGTAGGAACTTTGCTGTGAGGAGAGAAACAGTGGATATATTTTCAACAGCACCATCACTTCTTTTTTGGCATCTGTCACACTGCTTCAAAGACTATTATAATCAAAGGTGACTATGTTTAGTCTAAGCTTTAGGAACTCAACAGTTTTATCCTCACTCCCAAAGTAATCAAGTGGAAAGTGAATGTAAAAACCACCAAGTAATTATGAATATGTTTAACTGCATACAGCATTTTTAAAAAATAGAAGCAATTCTTTTTTACGAGCTTCTGATCTACCTCCCTAATGTGAAATCTAAGAGTTAACTAAATCCATTCAATCTGTACACAATACAACACAGAAGTTCTCGTGTGTAGTTAAGACTACATTACATTGTTTCTTAACACACACAAAAAGAAACCCCAGAATAAGGGAATATCCCTGAGTAAAAGTCTTTCACACACTTTACAGAATAAACCTTTAAAAAAAAAAAAAAAAATCACACAAAAAATGAGATATTACAAATCCAAGTGTAAAATTTTGCAGGTTTGGAAGATGAATGTCACTTGCTGCCTCAAGTATGGTCAGAGAAGGGTTAAATATATATGATGAGGTTGTGCATATTCCTAAGATAATCAGGAAAGATCCCAACAGATAAAACAGGCAAAAGATAACCAAACACATTACAAATAGAAAATTCGGTTAACAAATAAATGGATTTATCAGTCTTACCAGTCTTCCAAACATGCAAATGAAACGACCATTATTAATGATATCATCATGTAAAAGCAGTTTTACATGCACAGGCTTTTCACACATATCAGATTCAAATCATAACATCACCACTTGGAAGATGTGTGACCTTGGGCACTTTACTTGGCTCTCTGAACTTCATGTGTTGGAGTTCATATTACCTCCTCTGCAGAGCCATTGAGAGGATTCAATCAGATAATATCTTGCAATGTGCTTCACACATTGTGCAGTATAAGGAGTGCTCAATAATGGTAGTTACCGCTTTTTAATTATAAGCTGGCATGGAACTGGGTACTTTCACAGGCCTTTCTTCACTTAAATCCTCTAATACCACTGTGAGGTAAGCATTCATATAACCAGTATTTAAGGGCTAAATAACTGTATGTCAAAACTGTATCCTCCAACTACAAGCCCTATTACATATTTTTTTCTATACCAGAGCTGCTTCTTTGAGAACTTTCAAGCACAACTTAATTTCCTAAACTAAGGAAACATAAAGCCCAGAATGGACTTCTGGCTCCATAATAAGATTGAGCAGCTGACCAGAGACAAGATGAAAGGAACCCCATACCAGCCAGAGAGCTGTGAAGTTACAGAAGAGGTAGTGTGCACAGTCCTTTTGTTATCTCTTCAGAACACAAAAGCAGGTACGTGATTTGGAGCTTCCATTACTGTGGCAAATAAAATCCCAAGAGAAGAAAAGCTGAAGTACTCCTATTACATATGGCAGTACAAGCTCGATTCCAAAGGCATAAAGAGATTTACCTGCGCCTTTACATCCTTAAAAGACAATAATGAAGGAGGGCTCATTCTGTGAGCACTTATTCTTTTTAAATCTTGGGAAGATTCGTGCAAAGGGGTAACACTACAGAAAAATGAAGCCGGGATAACTGGAAATAATATCACATTAAAAGTCAAACAACATCTAGCAGTTCGAATTACTTCTTCCGTTATCTAAAACCCCTTTAAATGTGGGAGAGGTGTGATCAGGGTATAATATAACATATGTGGGTAATTTTTATTTTTTATTTTATTTTTTTAATGAGTTTATTATTTGTTTTAAATATATCTTTATTGATTTCAGAGAGAGGAAGGGAGAGGGAGAGAGAGAGATAGAAACATCAATGATGAGAGAGTCATTGATCGGCTGCAGCCCGCAGCCCGGGCATGTGCCCTGACCGGGAATCGAACCCTGATCGCCTGGATCCTTAACCACTGAGCCACGCCCGGCCGGGCTAATTTTTTTTTTTTTAATACAAGCTACAAGGTCACCAATCTCTCTGAGTTTGACAAACAGATCTATTAATGGTTCATTTGGTCAACTTAGAAGAAGGCAGGGGGAAAAATAGCTGTGTACTAGCTCAGAATCATATTTTAACACTATCCTATTTATTTCTAGGGTGGCCAATATTCTGAAAACCTTAATATTCATCAAAAGTTCTAAAATTTGCTGGCCCAAACAGAAGAAAATTGGTAGTCAGTCATGAAAGGCCCCCAACAGCCAAATCTAAAAGAAAGCTTTAATATTTCTTCATTTTGCCCCCCAAACTGCCTATTATCTTACCCCCAGGATGCTTTTTCCACAGTATAAGTTCTAACAATTCATTTTACGTTTTGACTTAGTTACGTACCAACAAACCTTTGAGCCAATTTTGTTTCAAGTTTACTGGCTTTTTACATTTAACATGAGAACATTAACAAGCACATCTCTCCCTCAATGAATCAAAGTAATTGACTAAACTTGAGGAAAATGCATAAATGGAGTAAATAAAATTAAATTTCAGTTCTATTGTACAGGAGAGAGATTTTTATTACTTAAGAAATCACTTTAGTAAAATGAAAGAAATTCTGTTTTGGAAGGTTAGAGAATCTCAGAAAAGGGCCATATATTAGCTGAATTAACAAAATGGAGTTAGGTCTACAAAACAAATTAGGAAGGACATTTTTCCCTTTTGTTCATCCCAAGCTATTCACAAAATGTCCTTTCATGATAAACCAATACTGATGAAAGTGCCTACCTCAATAGATACATATCTAGATTTCAGCTGGTAAAGTCAGCCATAGCATAATGCCCAAGAGTACAAGGTTCTTTGCCAATACACAGCCTCCCCCCACCTGAGGGTTATTTAAGAATATTTAACTTCAGGGTAAAAATCAACCCAAGTGCTTTATCAAGTGTCTAGAGAGGAGATAATATTAAGATCTAATCTAAGCTTGTCTTGAGAGGAGATAATATTAAGATCTAATCTAAACTCTGGTTGTGAAACTGTCTGTTTTGCAGCCAGAGGACTTTGTCACAGTGGTACCAGAAAACAAAGGGCTAATATGGCTTAAAAGATACATAATAAATGACCATAATGTACAACTGAACTTCTGATCTAGGAGCTTTTTTTTTGCTTTCGTTTAAATCCTGTTCCTGAGAAATACCTTGGCAAATCATTTCAAACTGTACTTTTCCCATAAAATGTTTCCATCTACTTGTAAAGAAAATGAGTAAAACTATTCAAAGTTCTACTTTTCCATCCTTCTCCATCCTACTGTGGAAAAACATCAAAATGCAGAAAAACATGGGACAGAATTTGAAGACTACTTTGCCATAAATAAAGAAAGTAAACTTTCATATTACAATTAACTGAAATATACCTTAAATCCACTGGGCATTTCATTCATTCACTCAAGTACTTACTGAGTGTCCACTGTGCCAGGAGATGTATAAATAATGGTGTGCAAACAGGGATAGTCCCTACCCAGAGCTCATCTTCCAGGGAGGGGAAAAGAAAACAGACTGGCAAACAAAATGAAGCAGAGAATTACCTCTCTTGAAATGCAGTGAAGGAACAGCACACTGGGCAGTGAGTACATAGGGCAAGGGTGCTCAGGAAGGCCTCCCTGAGAAAGCGACATTACAATGGTGATCTGACTGTGAGGAGAGCCAACCACACAAAGACATGGGGAGAGCCCTCCCCAGGGTGGCTCCATGGTTACAGAGCATCAGCCTGCAGACTGAAGGGTCCCAGGTTCGATTCCAGCCAAGGGCATGTACCTCAGTTGCAGGCTCAATCCCCCACCCACTAGGGTGGGTGCGAAAGGCAATCAATCACTGTGTCTCTCTCACATCAGTTTCTCTCTGTGTCACCTCTCCCCATCCCTTCCACTCTCTAAAAAAAAAAATCAATGGGAAAAATATTCTGGGGTGAGGATTAACAACAATGAAAAAATCTATACTTGGATGCTTTTGTTATTTTTTTAAATATATTTCTACTGATTTTGGAGAGAGAAGAAGGGAGAGGGGGAGGGAGGAAAGGAGGGGGAAGAAGGGGAGAGAGTGGGGGAAGAAGGGAGGGGGAGAGAGTGGGGAAGAGAGTGAGACATCAACATCGATGAGAGAGAAACACTGATTGGTTGCCTCCCATATACACCTAGACAAGGGATCGAACCCACAACCTGGGTACGTGCCCTGAGCAGGAATCAAACTAGTGACATTTTGGTGCACAGGACAAAGCTCAAGCAACTGACCCACACCAGCCAGGGCTAATCTTCTCATTTTTAAATGTGAACATAACTTTACTTCCTGGCAGATGGCTCTCTTTGCTTATAAAAATGAACTCTTAACTTGAACCAGATGAACTTTTAAAGCAATTTTCAATAAAACCTCTGCTCTTTTAACCTTTGGGGAACAAGGCATTCTAGAGTGGGCAAAGCTTTACAAATTTTCCATCTGCCAGACTGACTGAATATGGTGAAGGCATAATGCTCATGAGAAGTCAGAAACAGCAAACCTAATTTTCCCCAAAAAGGGAAAGAAAAAAACAAAAGGTCTGATGAGGTCTCAGAACTGCAAGTTTTTCTCTGAAATACCATCTCAAAAATTGCAACACATTTCCTTCCCTTGCTTCCAAATTTTGTGCCCAATAAATTCTGCCCTCCCTCCCTGCCATCCACCATTAAGTGCTTATTAAACAACTTGAGGAAACATACTCGAACTTTCATGTTAAGTGGGTACAAGCCATGGAAATACATGACTAGGAAGCAAGATGAACAGTGATGAAAGGGATGACATTTAGGGAAGAATGTAGGTAGCCAAGGAATGCCTCACGAGCTGTGCTCGGCAACCTGAGCGGGTGATGAGGGACCCAGAATCATTGGAAAAATAGCCTAAGGGGCTGAACAGACCACTCTGGAAGACAATAAAGAGACTAGCTTATTTAGAGCCAAAGGACTGTATTCTGGACAGCTATTACAACTGAGGATATGTGGATAATCTTGAGTACCATGTTAAGTTTAACTTTATTTTAGAAGAAGGCTTGAGACTTTAAAGACGTAAGAAAATGGGATATGGTGAAACAGTGGTTTTGGAAGAATTTCCCTGTAGACTCCTTTGCAGTTCACTGAAGGAAATGGAAAATATTCTAACTCTCCCACAGGGCTCAGCAACAGAGCAAAGTGATTAAGAGGACAAGTTCTGGAGTCACAATGCCTGCCTGGGTTTATGGTCAATCGCTACTACCAAATAGCAGTGACACAAGGGCAACTTAAACCTTCCTGGATCTTAGTTACCTCACTAGAAGTGGGTGCTATGGGGAATGAATGAGCTTCCACCTAGAGCACTTACAGTGATCAGCACACTGTAAGAATAAACCAAGTACTACATCCTATGCTTAGAATTACCATGGGCAACTACTCACTAGTGAAAGTCATCAAAAGATATAGAAAGAACTTCATTATCCCATAAGAAGAATATTATTTGAGAGTGAGGGAAACCAGACATTTGAAATGTCCCTTGAGCCCAGCCAGGCGTGGCTCAGCGGTTGAGCGTCGACCTAGGATCCAGGCGGTCGGGTTTCGATTCCTGGTCAGGGCACATACCTGGGTTTCAGGCTCAATCCCCAGTCGGGGATGTGTAGGAGGCAGCCGATCAATGACTCTCTCATCATTGATGTTTCTCTCTCTCTCTCCCTCTCATTTCCTCTCTCTGAAATCAATAGATATATTTTTAAAAATTTTTTTAAAAATAAAAGAAATGTCCCTTGAGATGGTCACTCAGAGATGAAGTATGTACACCTTACCAGCAAGTGTTTTTGCTGAAATAGGAAGGCATACTGGCCAGGGAATCCAGAGATGTTATCTACAATGGGTAAAGTAGACCTCAGCACTTCCAGTATCTCAAATGTAAAATAAGGTGTTGGTGGCCTTAGTAAGCTACCTAAGCCATCCAAGTTTGCCAAGTCTGCAATTCTATTGATGCTATACAATGACAGTGCACTGAGCACTATAGGTTATCCAATGGAATAAATACTGGAAAAGGGAACATACGTTACTGGACACATTTAATTTCCTCAAGGAGAGAGCTCTAAACTCTCCAGGAACCATGGGTGTGTCTTCAGCCCTCATCATCCAATCAAACCCTCTCCCTCCCTTCTCATGGGACACCTGTGTTCATCAGGTTGCGTGCTTGCTGTCAGGCACTTGGGACTGCCTACTTGTGACCCAAAAAGCATGAGGTTGGAAATCAGAAAATGCAGGTCTCAGTTACCATTCTACCACTTATTAGCTGTGTGACTTTAGATAAATATGCACCTTAGTGTCTTCTTATGTACAATGTGCATATTGACTATTTCTCAGGACTGCAGTGAGGTACAAATGAGTGCATAAAAGGGCAAAACCAGAGGGTACTACAGAATGATTTCGGCTCCTTTAGGCATGAAGCTGCTCCAGAAGGCTGATTGCACTGGGAGCAAGCCTCCAGGGAGCCAAGGTTTTCCTTTATTTAGTCCATTATAAGCCTAGAGAAATTCCTCTCATCTTCAAATAAGTAAGCTCTCCAGAACAATAATATCTCTTGCACTAACCGTATTTACACATCCCTCTTCAACCTGAGATTCATTATTTGTGGTTGGAGTGTCACCTAATTCAAATGCTTCAAAGTAATATTTATCACTCTTTTTTTCTCATTACAAAAGAGTAAAGAAATTTTTAAAAAACATGTAACCTATTACTTATTTACATTTATGTATATATTTAGCAACTAGTCTTTTCCATGTAATAATATATCAAACATTTCCCCAAAACTCTTAGTTTTCAAATACAGGATATTTTTAATCTTTTTCAAGTTTATTCTATATAACAAATTTTTTTGATTTATTTTAGAACACCCAGAATTGAATGTTTACAATAAAGGAAGTTTTGTAAACTTCAATTGAAGGGTAGATGTAAAACGCTAGGAAAAGAAACCTGATTATACATACGTAAATTCAATACTATAAATATTATATAGATTATACGATCTAGAATGTCAAAATTTTCTCTTAATTGACACATTTTAAATGTATACTTAGGATGCAAACAAATTAATAGATGAATAAGACAGTTTCTATGGGTAACTGATTGATCAGAGTTTTTGCCTTCATTCAGACCAGCATCAGAAACAAAGAAATGCTGTGTTCTAAGAGAAAATAACAATAAAATTTAAGGTTCTATAAAGTGACATAACCTACTTAATATATGTCCCTATAAAGTAAGCAGTAGCCTTAAACTGAGAAAACATGAAAAATACTGATCATCACAGCTCATCTAGAACTTTAAAGAGCTCTACAAAACATGGGTGTTGCTCATTTCAATAATAAGGGCAAGAGAAAAGCAAGGACTCCTTCCTACTTTTAATAAACTAAGAAGACTATTGATAAAAGACTCTTAAAAACCATAACTGATCTTTTGGCCATGAATAAGTATTGGTGAATTTTCTATTTTAAAATATTTATGCCAAAGATAGAGATTAGACAGCCAAACTCAGGAGATGTGCAAAAGAACTTCTACAAATCAGAGATAAAAACAATGAACAAAGGATTTGAACTGTCAAGTCACAAAAGAAATTCAAATTGTCAATTAATATGAAAAGACATTCAACCTCACTAATAAAGAAATGCAAATTTAAATAAGATTACTTTCTGCATATCAAATCAGCAAAATTTTAAAAGATTGAAAAATATGGGAAAATGAACACTATCAAACCCTCGGAAAGCAAGCTGGCAATAATAACAAAACTTAAAATGAGGATGTCCTTTCAGCAATCCTACTTTTACGAATTTCTTCTACAGAAACAGCAACCTAAGGCATAACAACATACACAACCATGTTCAGAGAAATATTATTTGTAACTGGAAAACACCAAAAAAAAACAAAAACAAAAAAACAACCCAACCCGAAGTCAACTTATCATTTAGAGAATAGATAAACTACACCATGTCCATACTAAGAAATTTTACTCAATTTTAAAATGAATGAAATGGACATTAAGTAATAACATGGAAGGATGTTCATGAAAAATAAAGCAAACTGCAGAACCATATGCACAGTATGATCTCATTTGCTGTAGAAAACAAAAAATGATACAAGTGATATATCTGGATTGTTGTTGTTTTAATTGAAAATGACAGAAAATGTTCTAGAAGAATAATTCTGAACCATTCTAGTGTTTCCTTGGGGATACAGATACATGACGACAAGAGGTAGAGACTGTTTTTATTTTATCTTCTGTTGTTTGAAATTTTTTATAAGCAGACATATTTCTTCTACAATTTAAAAATAACCAATAAAGGGAGAGGAGAGTTCTCTCAAAAAATTAAAATGTCACTTATTTTCACATTGAAATTTAAAAAGTACCTCAGCACATGTAAGTTAGGTAGTTACATGCTTAATTAAGTAAGTTGAGTGGTCGAAGCCTAATTATTAACATAATGATTATGTATCAAATGTGAACACCGAGCTTACCTCTTTAGGTGATAAATTTTGTGTGTATACTGTCCCTTCTCTCCGTCCTTCTCATAAGGTTCATTCTTTAAGACTTCAATTCCTTCTCCACCACCAGTCTCATTCTTACTAGCTTCTGCAACAGAGTAAAGCTGCCCAACCTGATACTGAAATTTCAAAGAGTACAGAATTTCAGTAAGTCAGTAGTAACTATGGAAACTTCCTATGCTAAAATCTTACCACAAATGATAGAGAAAAGCAAATCCAAATCACTCAGCACATATGTTCTACGAGAAAACGTGACTCAAATTAGAAATGAATGTTTAGGAAGACAAACATCAGATGCTCATACAGCTTCAAGAAACTCAATAGTATTTTACAAGATTTCCATTATTCAAAAAAATTGCTAGGTATAAACACTCTGGTGCTTTATTTTTTTTTTTTAGTGTTTTTTTATTGATTTCAGAGAGGGAGGGAGAGAAACATCAATGATGAGAGTCACTGATCGGCTGCCTCCTGCACTGCACAGCCCCACTAGGGATCGAGCCCACAACCAACAGGGGCATGTGCCCTGACTGGGAATCAAATAGTGACCTCCTGGTTCATAGGTCAACCACTGAGCCACACTGGCTGGGCAACACTCTGGTGCTTTAATATGTACTTCAATACCCACTTATCAAGAAAACATCTTGACACTTAGTTCAAGTTTTTGAATAATAAATATGCATTTGTATTTTCCAAAGTATTTTCATATCTATTATATCTCATCAATCTTACTAAATTCGGATGAAGGTATGGCAGGTATATAATTATCACTTTGCCAATTAAGAAAGCTAAGCAGCCCAGCCGGGCGTGGCTCAGCGGTTGAGTGCCAACCTAGGACACAGGCGATCGGGGTTCAATTCCCGGTCAGGGCACATGCCCGGGTTGTGGGCTCAATCCCCAGTAGGGGGCGTGCAGGAGGCAGCCGATCAATGACTCTCTCATCATTGATGTTTCTGTCTCTCTCTTTCCCTCTCCTTTCCTCTGTCTGAAATCAATAAAAATATATTAGGAAAAAAAAAAAAAAACAGAAAGCTAAGCAACCAGAGTACCATTCTCAATAATAAAGGGGAGGGATATAAAGTATAATAATAAAGGCCTGAAAATACAAAGAACCATTCCAGTCCAGATTTCAGTAGACCCCTGGGTCTTCCCCCCATGACTTATATATGACATACCCAATTTGACTTTTGTCTGAACAGAAATCATACTGGGTATCCAGGATCAGAACTGTGAATTGTAAAGTTCTCCAGTAAACAAACTATTTGTAAAATATTATAAATACACAAGTATTACCAGAAAAAGCAAGAAATTGCTGACAGTGGTTTCATCTTAAAGTGAACCAGAATTCTCAGTGGTCTGTTCCAATACCTGTAAGTGGGCAGTATTATTCTATGCCAGTCTGGAGTCACTACTTAATCCAATAAATGATAAAAAGCAAAGTTCTTGTGTTCTAATTTGTTCCTAGTGACTCAACCATGGCAGTATCTTCAATCTCTTCAAATCTGGATGAATTTCTTCCTCCCCAAAAGACAGCCTGAAATAAATAGCTTTCTTTTTTATAAGCATATTTTCAAAGAAAAGTTACCTATAAAAATAATTCAAAACCAAGATTTTATTTGAAGGACAAAAAATTGGGGTAGCGATAAGCTCTGTGAATATTCATATCTAAAAAGCCCATGGGAGAATGATACTATCTTGAGGGTTAATTCTCATTCTCTCTCCCTTCTCCTTTCTCTCTTCTTCCCTCCTTCCCAGTCTCTCAGCTGGTCTCTGTCTCTGTCTCTCTCTCTCAGGAAGCTGGAACCAAGCACATTGTTTAAATGAATCAAAAATAAGTCAAAAGGTAAATTTGATCTTGGTCAGGAACAGAGTAACAAAAATTTACACAGAAACAATAGTATCCAAAAAATTTTCTTAATGGACTAATGATGTATGGCACGCTACTAGGCTTTCATTGTCATTTTAGAGACTAACCTAAATAAAGACAGGAGGCATGTTTATTAAGTCTGAGTACAACAAAGAGCTGAGATTATTTTCTGTGACAATACCAAGATTCAGAAAGATTTCAACAAGTTGATCCAACTACCCAAAACCAAAAGGAAAAAAATTAAAAGCAAATGTCAATTTCCACATTCGAGTTCAAACAATCAATTATACAAGTAAAGAAAAGGGGTGCCTGGCTTGTCTTGAGTGTTTTATTACAGTGAAACCTCAGGCACTACTGAGATATATACAGCTGTGTTCAAGTCTACATTAAACAGCGCTATTCATTTTTAGTCACTACTGCATTTTACTTTTTTTCTTCCTGTCTTCTGTCACCTGTCACTTCTAAGGTTATCAGTTTGTTTTGTCCCACTTCCAATTCACTGCTTCTAATTTACTGTCAGCTCTAAGAAAACCAGATAACTGAGCAAGGGCAAACTGTGTGCAAGTTACAGAAGGACCCAGAGGGCTTTATGTTTTGCTACACATATCTTAATTTCTCTGAAGTCTCTTTGCTTTTATTATCCTCATTTTTGGCTATACTACAGGTAAATAAAACTACAGATAAGTAAAACTACAAAATATGCAACTTCTGAACAGGTGATATATTTCTGTATCATGTGCAGATCAAGAGAGATAATTATCTCTCACATTAAGTGCTGGTCAGAACATGTCTGGAATACCATTTTCAGTTGAAAGCAATAACTACAACCATGCAGTAGTGAGATCAGCTGGTGAGGAAGTCTAGAGGTCATGTTATATCAGGCCAAATGAACATGCTGGAAATGTTTAACCTTGCAACCTCGAGACAATGGAACAAAAGGGGCTGGGGGAGGAGAGAGAATTGCCATAAGAAAACCTAAAGGGTTACCATATGCAAGACAGAACAGGCCTATTTCTTATTGCTCAAGTGGAAGGAACTTAAACAACAGTCAAGTTGTATAAGAAAGCAGATTTTGGTTTAAAATGAAGACAAATGTTTTTTAAAAAATCCAACAGTAAAATAGTCTGCTTCTTTAAGCAGCAAATTACTTAACCTTAAAGTGCTTAAGTTGAGGCTAGGACCTCCTTTCTCTGGGATATTTTAGTGCAGAATTTCTGCACTAGACAGGAGGTTAAACTACATTCTTTAGACTGTTCCAAAACAAAGCAGTAGAACAGAAATTCATTTACAATTATCTGTAATTATCTGTGTAACAACCTGTAACACACTTTAATTCATTTTGTCACATAAACTGAAATGTAAAGGTAAATAAACACAACAAAAATATAACTTTAGATTAACATATCAAAATGAACTATATCAATAAAATAATACAGAAGCAAGCATGACTTACCTCCTGAACAGAACAGGGCAGAACCACACGGCTAAAAAAACAAAAGGAAAAAGCATATAAGTGACACATGAAATAGTTGGCTTTAAAACACATCTCTATGCTTAAAAGACCTACTGTAAATCCAATGATAGCATGGTACAAGGATATCATTTATGGAAGAGTGTCTCTGCAATGCCTACAGCTCTAAATAAGTGTGTGTTTTTTGTTAATCCTCACCCGAGGATATATTTTTTCCGCTCATTTTTAGACAGAGTGGAAAGGGGGGGAGAGAAGAGAGAGAGAGA